CGGATTCATGTGTTGCTTCAACTGGAGCTTTAGGATCTGTCTCATTTTAGCTTTTGACCAGCGTTTGGACGTATCCATGTCTTCACTCACCGCTGCCACATCTCTATTTCTTAAGATTGAAGAGATCTTCTTGCCTTTAGACTAGCACGCATCTAGGAGAGCAGAGTTTCTTAGAAATAGTTGGCCGACCAATCGACCGCTGGCGAAGGACAATGTTATTATCTGAATAGTCTAAAATTTTTAGACCTACCTGCGCTATGAACTAATTATTTAATAACAATGCAGTGGGTAAGACATAAGCTCCCGGAAAGGGTAATCGCAGTACGAAGCTCACCTGAAGTTTCGAGTTTTGCTCGTATCCCAGCATAATTGTGGCTTATATTTCCTCGCTTTCTTTTTACTTTTATTCTGTGCTGTTTATGAATTTATGGTGACATAAAAATATTTTTTTTAATCTTATTGTAAACCGACTTTTATTCAACCTTTGTACATATGATCAACGTACCTTCATCGATAAGTTGACACGAGATTGTTATCAGTATTTATTCAGCTAACGTATCCTCGTTTTCGTCTTTCACATAAACAGTGATCCGACCGACAATGTTCACAGTCGTTCGTCTTCTCTATGTGATGTCTTCGGCAACGTATCGAGCCGGAAGTTCTTTAGTGGAGTATCTCACGAAAGAGGCGTACTCACCCAGGGATGGTCTTATATACAAGATTGTTCTTACTGATAGCTGTGATCGTCAGGGAATAACAGCTTGCTTTTTTCGGACAATAAATCCTGCAGAAGTCGGTATCATTAGTAGCTAGCACACAGCATCAAAGGATTCAGCTCGATACGCCGACGTAAACACCACATCGAGAAGACGAACGGCTGTGGACACCAACTAGGATCATTGACTCCGACGAAGGCGAAGATGTCGGAACGTTAGCCGCATAAATATTGGTGGCAACCTCGAATAAGCTTATTGGTAAAGCAAGGCGCGTTTCTGGTAATAACAGTAGTTAGTGATAACAGTACTAGCAATAACAGAGTCGGAGTCACGGATGGTGCAGCAGTTAGGAGACCCCTGCGATACTCACGGCTTTTGGTTCTATAGGGCTCTATAGGGCTAACAAAGTACGCCACAGTATTCTTAGGTTGGTAGATTGATGTGAAATCAGTATAAGACGACAAAAACGCTTATTTCATACATCAATAGGGTTCCGCAAGTCATTGTATAAGGCGAATATGCATTACATCTTACTGCGAATGGGGTGGAATTCATATGGCGCCGAACGCTTTATCCTTCTTTTTTTCGGCAATAATGTTAATACCAGCAGTAATGGTAGTAATAACATTGGTAAAATCTTTAGTAAGCTCATTCTTGTCCATTATTCCTTGAAGACATACTATGTTAAACAGCACCATTCTCTTCTTTTGTATTGTCATTACATGAAAAATCAAAAATAGCTTCGAAAATCTTATACTCTTCAAAAATGTCCCTTTTTTCCCAGGAACTCCGGCAGGCCACGTTTATTACCAAACCTCGTCTGTTCACTTGGAAAAGCTATTCCCTTTGTTTGGACCGCAAAAGGTCAACCAGCACTAAGTATTCAATTGTCATCATTCTTCATTTTTCGCATCCTTCAATAATAACTGTGCCTTCTTGGTATTGCTGTATCCATTAATAACTTTTTTTTTTCTAGTTTCCTCATGTGATTCTGCTTATTTCGGTGGAGAGTATGTACACTATCGGCTTCCTCACAATCATTATTATCGTTGCATTTTCACGAGGTAAAGAATTATCCATCATTTTTGAAATGTCACCTTCCAAGTACATTATTGATTCGGCGTTGAAGTAAATGGTACTTTGAAAACAGTTAAGGTAGTAGTAAACTGTGCTGTTTTGTGGATCTTTGTCATGTGATAAATCTTGGGCTTGTTAGTCAAGAAACTTCGCGATTCATCTTTTCTTTCTCGCCTTTCATCCCGACCTTCTGAAACACTAGGAGTAAGAAGTCAGTCAAAAATGGCCGTACACTTTGTCTGGGACAAAAATTGCTTGATAAAATTGAGTTCCTGCTCATAAATAATAAATGGCTATATTATGGCTAGCATTTTAAGCAGTTTATTTAGTTGAAATTTCTCACTAAGTCTCCCATGTAAAGACACACGTAGCCAATTGGCTAAGGGTGCCATGCAAACCATATGGATTCGATTCTGCGCCAAAATCTCAGCAAGCCTTCCATCTTTCAATTCTCCCGGGGTCGGCAAATTGCCGTCAGGCCTATCTGGGAGGACAGCAGCACTGACTCGACACATCGGGAGACCACCGCCATTCATTGTAAATGCATGGCGCATATCTCAGGAGTTGATCAAACCCGGGAGCTTTCTCCTTTGTCAGTCCATTCTAGGTTAGAAAATTAACCAGCGATTTTTCACTTTTTCCCCGCTTGCCATTAATGCTCTCGATACAGCACGAATAATTTCTCTATTCACTCGCATGGCGATAAGGTCCACCGCACAACGGACATGGAATCCATCATAGTTCTGTTCTTTCTTTTATATCTTTTGTTAGGAATGTTTCTACTGCCAGCCTACAGAACCTCACCTTCCTGTAGATTTACCCAAAAATCGCTTTCAGATCGAGAATTTCGAGATTACCTTGGATTTGGGCGACCCCTCTGGAGTAATATGGTGGGATAGGGTGGGATGCTTCTTCTAGCGACTTCTAGCTATACACTTCAACATTTAGAAACATCTTGACAGTCATGATGTAGGATCACCCTTAGGAGAAGGAGGCAACAATAGTTTTACAAAAGAATAATTATGGAGGAAGGAGCTCCTACTTTTATGTCTACCTACACTTACCTGTTCCACATATCTACTTCGAAAAAAGTAGATATTTTATCATGAAGATAACCCGTACTTCTCTTTGGCAAAAAAAATCAGTTGAGTAATTAACCCACCCATGGTTTCCAGGACAATTTAACGATGCACATTCAGGCCATAGAATAGCGCTGTATCACTCACAGAAATTTTTTTGAAAATTCTTTTCTTAACAAGTAACAGTGTTGTTTTTGTAATTAAAAGTAACAAAAATGAGTGATAACTTTAAGTGTTTGCATCGGACGATGAGGAGCGCCTTATGATGGATGTGTTTCGCGGCTACAATTCCCTGATTCAGGTTATCAGTTGATAATGGGGTCTTTATAGGAAAAAACTTTTCTAGCATTCCGTGTTAATCTTTTACTTCTAGACTGTTTCATTTCTTTTTGGTACTAAGAGATGTTATAAATTTTGATGATGCTGAGATATTTGTAAAACTCCGGACCGCAGGTGTCTGCGGTTGGGAACAAACGCGCTATTGTCCTTTCTGGGGAGTAACGCGTTCACCACCACACCATGCGTGTCCTTCGTTTCGCCTGTTTCTCAGCTAGTTAAAAAGATGTTATAATTTTTTTACCAAAGTAACAATTGTAAATTTTCTCCCGCTGTTTAGTTCCTTTTATTGATAGATGCTCTTTTTTAGCCGGTTAGGAACATTAGTAACGTCCCAATTGTAGTGAAAATTGCACTGCAGCTCGTCCTTCTAATTAATGTGGTGAGAACAGTTAGTTATTTATATTTTGCAAAATTTTCTTTAGAAATCCTATTGTATAGTCACCTATTTTTTGACCATTATTGGCGTCTAATCGAAGAACAATTTGACATTATTTGCCGATGCCTTTCTAGAAGCAGTGGTTTCCCAAACTTGGTGCTTAGTTTGGCCAAGAATTGATCGGAATTGGCGTCTCAGCCGATTCTGAGCTTGTACGGAAATGTTTCTTCGACGACGGTTTGTGCTTGGTATCTTCTACCTGGGACATGAAGATGGCCTGTGGGGAATAGTTGTTGTTCCATTCAATGGGCTTCAATCATTCAGCGTTCAGCGATCTTCTCATGAATATCTGTCGCTCTGGAGAAAACTTACTTAAAAATGTTTCTCGTTTCATCGTCGACGTGTGTCACCAAGCTTAAATAGGAAGTCAACAACATTATGAGAAAACGCCAAAAGGTTCGGCATTGACCTTACCCTCAGGGATATGCCATGCTTTCGACTCGATGAAATATTTTAAAGCTGATTCAATGCATATTTTTCCGCTGCACTGAATTGTGGAGGAGGACCAATGAATCAAGTCAGTGTTTCATCCTCGAATTACTATACATGCGTTCCATTTTGTAATGACTGAAGTCGACATTTGTCGTAGAATGTAACTTCATGTTTTAGAGGACGTTAGAAGGGAGGTTAGGCTATGTAGTGATGTTCTCGTAGTTTGTACGACATCGGTAATGTGTTGACCACGACCCAACAGCGGTTAGGTATGGAGTACGGCTAGCTATGACTTCGTAGCGAATAAGGCTTATTTTAATAGGATAATTCTGATCTTTAACGTTATTTTAGTATCTTATGTCGTTAAATATAAAAGTTTCAATATAATAGTGTTTCATCAGGCGAATTTTTCAATAAAAACCTTCTAGGACGAAAAAGATCAAGTGATGCACACCAACGTCTGGCTGACACTAGTGAGTTACTATTCCAGATTTTCTCAATTTTGTCAAGGTGACACTACTTTTTAGTTATCGATTACACTATCTGAGCTTATCAATTACTAACTAAAGCAAAACGACAAAGGTTATTTCAAATGTTTCAAATTACTCACCACCTTATAAGTGACTACCACGATGGCAAATATGTGGCTCACAGGGTCCAAGCTTAATGTGAATTTCTGATTGTTACTGATTATATCATACACAATCTAGTTATATATCAGCCGGTATTTGTTCTTAATGTTGCAACTGAACAGTGTAGTAAGGGGCCAACTGCGCGAGGGCAGACAAGAGTTCTATCCACGCTCGGTTAGCGCATAGGTCTAACGGCTGTACGTCGCTAAGAAGCGTAGTTTTACAGTTCTGTTGACAGAATGACATACCGTAATCGCCCACTGGCCTGAATTTCTTATGTTGCTCAGAGACAGTTCAGAAATGGCACGACTTTCAAATGCGTTGGAATCCAGTCAACTACGGCGAAATCAAACAGATTCGTGTGTCCCCGGACAAAGTCTGGTTGCCTGATATCGTATTGTTCAATAAGTACGTTACTTTTCACATATCACCTATCAATTCTCACAAGGGAACAGTTTTGGCACTTTCCTAAATGCACTTTTGCGCAGCTTTTATGCAAAGGTTTAAAATCTCTCTCAATCCGACGATTTTTCCCCTTCGAAAGGACCGGTTCAATGTTTTGTAGAGTCTTACGGTGAAAAAGTTTTTCGTTTTGAAGTGCCAGAACAGTGTCTCAATCATAAACAGTAGAAATGCACAACTTTTAAGATAGCACATACATTCGTAAAAAAAAAGAAACAAATAACGTGTCTTTAGCGCTGATGGTAACTATGAGGTATCATTTATGTGCAATGTGGTGATAAACCATCTGGGTGATATGCTCTGGGTGCCGCCGGCCATTTACAAAAGCTCATGCATCATTGGTGAGTCGAAATAGCCAGAATCTATTAGAATCTGTCGAAATCGTTAGATTTATTTCAGATGTGGAATTCTTCCCGTTTGACGAACAGCTGTGTACACTGGTGTTCGGATCGTGGACAGTGAGTTCATTCTTCCGGCCCGCAATTGTGAAAATGATTAATCAGAAATAGAACAAACACATGAAAATTCAGTTCAGTGTTGCACGTCAGTAAAGAAAGATGGCTTTCATAATTGGTTTTCTTTATCGATCAATGCCATCAGCAACCACCTGTCAACGGGATTAATCTAGGGAGCCCACATCGGCACGGAACCCAGTTAAGCTTAGCTTGGAGTTAATATCACAATATTAACATATTATTTGTTGCCTACTATAAATTTTCACGGCACGGTATTATACGAAATACAACCACAACGATGCTGAAATATTTGCGAAACTCCGGACCCCAGGTGTCTTGCTGATGGCACTTATCGAAAGAAAGCAGTTTTGTACCTGGTCCCGTATCGGTTGCCCTTTAACAGTAATCCATTCATGATCGACCTTTAACACTTGTCTTTTTTTGTAATGAGAAGTGAGGATGTTCAAGAAAAGCTTGTTCATTAATTCTTCACGTTGACGAAATCTTTTTTAAACGTTGATAGCATGACTGGTAATAAATAACTTATTCAAAATCGCCTATGCTACATTTCGGTGACGTAAACATAGCCAAGTAAACTGGTTGACCCTTGCCTTCTTTCACAACACCTATGACATTTTAAAAGTGGTTAAAAATGATATTTCAGTACAACGAGAATGAGATCAAACTCGAGTTCGAGCAAGCCGAATGGGTGGATTTGTCCGAATATGCTCCGTCCTCCATTTGGGATGTGATGGATGCGCCAGCGTCGTTGGTGAACAAAAGGAGCCGCATTGAGTTTCAAGTCAGGATACGGTAAGTGGAAAACAAATAACCCTCACAAAATTTATACTTTCTTGGAAGTCTAGAACAGGTCATTACACTGTTTTCCTAGTTATAACCATACTACCTTTGATTTTCAGGCAGCCGACGGTTTGCACGATTAAAATTAACTTGTTCGTTCCTTTTTCTTTTCGTTTCTATTGAAAGCTTTCGGCCAAAATTATCAATGAATTTTTGTTGCCTACATGATAGTGTTTTATTCAGCATTTCAGCGGTTATTTTCTTTATTTGTGTAAAAGGCAAAGTAGCATAAACACGGTAGAGGCCGCCATAGAAGTGATGGGCATTCAGGAACACCGTAAGAAACACCACGGTGATAGCATTTTATCCAGAATTTCCTATTCATAGAATTGAAAACTCTCAGTAATTATTAAAACGCTAACAAAACACTTTTTACAGTTTGTCATATATCTAATTATTTAGACATTTCAGGGTAGTTCATATGCTAGATGGTAGGTGGTTAGAAACCCATTGATTCACATAATTCTTAGGTGGGGCTGTCACCCAAAGCTATCCAGGTCTCTATGCATCCTGGATTCACATATCATATCTGTCTGGAAAGACAGAAATGACCGCTTTGGTACGACCGCAGATGCTAGAAAGTGCGCCAAATATGCCCTTATTCACATGTTCGATGCAACGAATAGAATCCAATGCATAATGCATTTCTTAGGGAGTCATCAACGCCGAAATCGTTGAATTCTTTTACACCTTTATTAGTTCAGAAAGCATCTAATCGACTGCTACTTTGTTGTCATCTGATGAGATAAAAGTCGGTTTGTTATAAGGGAAAAATATCGGCTCTTTATTTCTAGTGAGATTCCAATTTCTGACATTCCAGACGAAAAACACTGTTCTACACTGTCGTTCTCATCATTCCTACTGTTCTTATGGCATTTCTTAGTATGGCGGTGTTCTTTTTGCCGACTGATTCAGGTAGATATTTAAGTGAATGTTACCGAAAAAAGCGAAATCTTTCGCACCAGTCGATCTATTTACACTTTAAAAGGTGCTTCTACAGCCGTAAATTTTATCTTGCGTTTTATTTGCTCTAAAATCTGGGAAAGTAGAGAAGGAGGCACAGCACCCGTCATAAACATCACTAAAGACCAGTTTTTTGTTGGAACCCATAAATTCAATGTGGTTCTTGCAACTACCGTGACAAAGTGTCTTCAGAAGGAACAGATTCTTGCCTAGTATATAACCTCACACCCTTTCTACGTGTCCTATCGGACACAACGCGCCTTCAGAACTTTTCACTGTTTCTCTGGCGACGAGGTAAAACCAGGGCCATCCAATTTCGTCGTCGATGCTATCGAAAACGACAGTGGTCAGAGAAACCTTCACAATTGCCGAATTACTTGGGCAATGCTATTTGGGGAATGTGCTATGTGAGTTCTTCATGAGGATTATCCTATCATGCATGTCAACAATTTCAGATGAAGCTCAATTGCTTGAGCAAACTGGATTCCGATAGCAATTTTGCTCTGTGGACCACGTCCAAATAGTAGATATGGTCTCGTTATGCCGGCAAAGCTCTGACTTTTCGTGGAGTATCCGTGAAGCAGCAATAATGTCCTTAGAGTGATATAAGAAAAAATTGACATAAGCATCTTTCTTTTTGTCGATTTATATTTTCTTCTTTTACTATGTTTAGTAGAAGCACCTTCCAGCTTTTTTGTGCCGTGTTAAATTGTTCAAGAACTATTAAAGAGTAACATCTCACTAAGAAAGTACAACGCTCTTTGCGTCTCACCATCTTGCGAATCCGACCGCACGGATGCAGCGCTCGACAGGAATGAGTGGACACTTCATTGAGAGCTCATGCTACTAAGCCAAATAAGAAGAAAGACGAAACTGCATATCGTAGGGATAAAAATCCCATCTTCGAGAAACCCGTGATGCCATGTAAAAAGAACCTTGAGGAAGCCGTATCATTTTGCCTACTTGAGACGTTCAACCAATGTGGAAAACAACATTAATGAAAAAATTTCCAGAGGAATGGGAGTAGTAGGGGCTTAGTTAGGCCTTCTCGGAAAAACTATCGACGGAATAATGGACTCGATACTTGGCTCCCATCTTTTTGACCCATCAGTCCTCTGCACGTCCTGTTATGCAGCTCTGACGTGGCTCAAAATCTCAAAAGGACGCAAGATATGCTGAGGTCAACAAGCTTTTTGAAAACCGAGATATCAGGTTTTATTCATTTTCGTTAAGTTCTGCAACACTTTGTTTCTTACTGAGCCTATTATGTTCTAAAAATAAAGCACAGAAATTTAGGTGAAAAGATGACGTTGACGATTTCTGTTCTCCTCTCCATCGTTGTGTTCCTCCTGTTGGTGTCAAAAATTCTTCCGCCGACATCCAGCACCATTCCACTTATGGCAAAGTAGTTATTTTCGTAATTTCATCACAGCCTTAGATATTTCGAGCATTTCGAATACGGTATAAGCAAATATACTGTAAAAAGAGAACATTTAACATTTCCTAAGAAGTCCTTCAGAGTTTTCTTGAACCTTTCAGGTATCTCTTGCTCACATTCGTTCTAAATGTGATCACTATCTTAGTGACTGTAATCATTATTAATGTTTATTTTCGTGGACCAACAACACACCGAATGCCGTGGTGGGTTCGCCGGCTTTTTTTAGAGGTCAGTGAAATTCGTTACGTTTGGCCATGCAGGCCACCCTACCATCTTGTCTAATCTGGACATCTTGGCCATCTTCTTTTTTTTAGTGGATGCCGAACGCGATGTGCATGAAAAGACCAAGGTCATTTTCACTTGATAAGAAAGTCATAGAGCAACTACGACCAACCATAGCCCAATTGCCAGGATTGGGCCAGTTCGACTTCTGTCTCACCGCTCATCATCCATTTTGCCCAAGCGCTAGCGATACGTACGTCCACAGATCAGACAATTTCGCTGTCGTTGTGGAAGTTTTCTCTTGTGTTATTCTTCCATTACACTTTCTACGGTCGATTGCATGAAAATAGCCAGACCAATAACAACATAATCGAATAAGCCAACCAAAACTGCGATCACTTGAACGAAGTGGAGTTCAGATCGGTTCGCCTAGAAGTCGAACCTATGTACTTCTTTCCCTTCCTACAGTTACGAACTAAGCAACATCAAAGTACAAACTTACATTATTGTGAAGTTTTGAAGATTCTTGTTTTATGCGTAATCTTTTGAACATATTGAACTCATTGTCAGTAATGTCAGTGGGTATACCACTCAAGGTGCATCTGAATAACCTTCAACTAAGTCAACTGATGTCACTAGCATGTGATTATAGAGAAGTTTGGGTCATACGGCAACTATGTATTACAGAGAAGCTTCACCAAAACTTATGCATTCTGGAATCACAACGGAAATCAGCAGCAATTCTTCCGTATTCTATCCACTCTCAGAGGAGGCAATCCGTGCCATCGACTCTATCGATTACATCACTGATCATCTAAAAAAAGTGCAAGAACGAAAAATGGTAAGGAGAAAGTGACGTCATTTTAACGGATTTCTCCTTTTTTTTTCTTTCCGTTATAAGCGTTTGTCATTTGAAAAGATCGTAAAAAAAACTCAAGATCACCACGATGAAAGCTGTTCGTCTGATTTTTTTACGATATTTTCAATGTGTCGAACTTGTAAAGAATAATCGGCATTGAGGCAGAAAAGATGAATGATTGGAGACTTCTTAGCAATCATGCCATAGTAGCAGATGGGATAGAATGAAGCCAAGAAATCCTGCAGCACACTTAAGCACTGCATAATTCAGCTGGCATGGCTGAGGAGATAATGAGAAGATACCAGTAAGCTAACGATGAATAGAAATTAGAGGAGTGCACTGCAGTCGTTCTGTCTTGATTTGGTCCACGAAACGCCGATGCAAGTGATAGGTGCTATTTAATCGACAAAAATCGATACTTCGAAACGTTAGCCGAAAAATCGATATGTTCTACAGTTTTTCTTTCTACCACTTGTTTATATGGCGTCTTTGGCGCACTGATCGGCGGGGCTCTGCAATGCACACATTGGATCGATCCCCGAGCTCGTGGCTCACCAAGCCTTCCATCCCTCTGGGGTAGGCAAATTGGTCCCAGACTTATCTGGGAGGATAGCGGCACTGGCTCGACACATCGGTGGGCGACAGCGAGCCAGCCCTAATATATTATACATTCAGTCACCTCCAACGATGCTTAATGAAGTCGAATGCGTGGCGTATCCCTGTGGGATTGATCAACGCCGAAACCTTTATCTTTTTTTACCATTGGTTTATTGTCCACGAAATACATTTGGTTGGTTTGATATACTTAATCGACTAAGACGACTGACTTAAATAATTTTATTGGTCATGAAACAATAAGAAATAGGAAAAAGAATTGGGAAAGGGAAGAAGAAATGTTAGCAGGAACTGAACTGATAGCAAGTTCTGAACCGGAGCAAATTTTCTCCAACTTCCATCAGTTCACATGGGAATGAATCGTTTCAATAATATTTATGATAGTCAGAAGAATTTCAAAGCTTACAGTATCGTGATGACTGGAAGTACGTGGCGATGATTATCGATCGATTGCTTCTGTACGTCTTCTTCGGCATCACCGTCGGTGGTACGTGTGGTATACTTTTTAGTGCACCGTATGTGTTCCAAGGTGAGTTCACTAACGCTATTAGACTTAGCAAAATCTAAACACAGTAAACCATAAATATATAAGCCAACGGTGGTAGATTTAGATAGGGCCTAGGTTTGTAGTGATCGTTAGTCGTGTGTTGTAGTGAACAGTTGTTAAAGAACGACCAAGACTTGCACACCTTGCCGCCCAACGGTTTTCCTCCTCATCGTGGCTGGGAGGTGTTCCTGGGTGTCGGGCTGCGATGTACAACGGGAGGATTCATTTCCCTAACAGGGTCTCCCAAGCCGAGAAGTAGTCCGACGTTTCCATCAGGAAGCCCAGCTAAGAGTAAACCAATACTAGGATCCGTCACCATCCTGCTGTCTTACTAGTCGCATGGTGACAAATCTCCCTCTGATCCACAACGACGGCGATTGAATGTGGTGGTGACGACATGGGGTAGATTTTGGCCTGGCTGACCTCGCGACTCCAAGGAATCACAGTGGCTAAACCAGGACAACTCCGAAAAAATGGAGATTATCCTGGGGCCCGCACAATCTGTGAGGGTGGGTCATCCCAATATCCAAGTATCCAAGTATACACCTTTTACTGATTCATATTTTTAAGAGCAAAAATCTGGCTGCGTCTACCTGTGTTTTGATATAAAGAAATTTCGATGTTAAGTATGTCATTATCATAGTTTATCGCTTTTGAACTTCATACGACGACGCCCAATTTTTTTGCACCCGTGGTGCGCACTAAACTCGATTCGTGTGCTCCGAAATGTCTCCTAAATAGAGACACACTCTTTTACTATGCATATCACATCATGATTCGTGGTATAGTACCACAAAAGTCGCTATGGGACCCATAGCAGACCAGAAAACTCGTCGAACCTCTGCTTTTTAAAGGAAATAGCTGCTTTTTACATTGCAATGCTGAGAGAATGGCTGTCGCACGTGTCGGTTACATAACCTATGTAAATGAACTTGCTATTTCACTCTTCATAGGAAAAGGTTTTGCTGTAAGGGTAGCAATGTTGTAAGTGCGTCGAAATAAATGCACTCGTACAGCACTCCTCACTACACTTGCATTAATATCAATACGTACGGCTGCGAATGTATTAAATAATAGCTTATTTTGTAAGTAAGCGGCTTTCTTTGAAGGATAGAGGCCAGTGCTTGCACCATATGATTGCTGATATCGTTGTAGGCGTGGATCAACGAGAAGTACTCGATCGACTTATCAATCTCTACAAGACCGGTGGTAGTCGTGATTAGCTTTTGATGGAGGTATTCACTGAAAAAGTACGACATGAAAATATTTCGTTGTTAAAATAAATGTACTGTTTTTTCTGATACTATATTCCTTTACCTTAATAAATTTGCAGTTAATAGTGGATACCAGCAATTCGTTTGAAATTCAGTTGAATGGTTGCGATTGACAGCCGGCTCATTTTACACTGATTCCTCAATCATGTCGATAATCTTCGGCGCACATCAGAGGGCTACGATTGGAAGTGCTAACTGAACCCGGTCGCCGGTTGCTGGAAGTTGGCGGCTGTTCACAATATTGAACGACCCTCTATGATCAGTTGTCTCTCTGTTTTCTTAAAGAATATTTTTTGCCGATTTCATTTTTTTTTACTATTTATCCAAGATGAAGTCTCAATAACTGGGAAAAACAATACTCTCATCGTTTGCTCTTTTTCTCTTACAACCATGGTTCCCATTTTGAAATTGTACCGTAGTATTCGCAAACTGGAGTCTCTCTCGATTTCTTATTCAAAACATTGCATTCCTTTGAGTGATCCGATTTAACGAAGAATCGACCGGAAGTATCCACACATTCGCGTTACAACCTTGGTCTTTGTTTACAGTCCCTGGAAACCCGCACCTGCTCGAGTCGTTACACGGATAGGTGCCGAGTGATCGTTCCGAAGAGACTCAGCTTCACCTGAGTTTTTGAGCTATGCAATTAAGTGTATTCTATGATCATTCCAATTTCTAGTATGGTTATCGTCTTAGCTTGTTAAGCCTAGAGAGGAATGAGCCTCTCTCTCTATGTGAACATCATAATTTGGCATACATTCGACACGATAAGGCAGACGGTGAAGCATAGAGCCGGCATACTAATAATAATATTTATCACAATTATGCTAAGAAATAGAGGAATGCCCGCAGCAGCACAAACGACAGTTTCTAGATTGATGGCGCTCGCCCATTGTTGATGATTGTACACCTCGACACCCATGAACATTCTCAAAATCATGTTGTAAACCAGGGAACGTTGACTGGTCACCGAAACATCAAATTGTGCTACAACATGTGGTGTCACTGCGAAAAATCCTCAATTCTCAAATATTCGTAGAATATTATCCATTTCTATTTCTAAGCCTTGACTAGGTTTTTTCGCTTTTTTACCGTTTCAACAACGACTAGTAAGAGGTTCTTAACACCGATTACAGCGTTTCCATCCGTATCAGTGTCACTGCTCTCCATATCGTATGTATTTATTCTATTATGTTATATATTATGCTATATATATGAATATTATTTCATTTTATTTTACTACATGACAGCCAATCCATTGCCTCGCATCCGTCATCGACGAAGCTCGTCGGATTTGTGGTGTACGTTCACCTGCGGCTTCCTAGAGTTTTTGGTCCTTTTTACTGATATCATTGAAAGCTAGTCGAGTCGACTTCTCATGGAATAATAGGCATGCTGTAATGGAATGTTGCTATACCTTGTTAATCGGAAGCAGCTTAATAGAAAAATTTGCTAACAAATGGATAGAAGAATCGTCGAATTTCCTACGGCATTGCCTCAATTTAATCTGTACCATCTGTGTAGCCCCCTTATTCACCCAGCAAGTCTAGCAGACATAGCAATATCTCTACTTTTTCCATGCTTGGCAAAGCTACCGAATGACCGTCATTTGCTTTAACAAGGCGATAACCATCACATTTTTCGTTGAAAATATCTTAGGAAGTCTCCGATGCTTCGGGTCTGCATTGGAGATAGCTTTCTTCTACCATATAGAATACGCGTAAAGCATCTTTTTTTGGTCGCGCATGATGGACGACTTTTGACAAGCCTTCCAAACGTCTCGTTCTAAATTGTTCTCCGGTTGGATTGGCTCACATTTAAGCACAGTCATGAACGAGTTGTCGATTATAATGACATGTAGAAGGTAGGTAGAAAGCAGTAGAACTTCAGAAAAAGAAGGAGCCCATTCTTAAATAAATCTGGGTCTCAAATTGAGCATTGTGTTGCTTCCGTCACACTATTACACCCCGGCAGCTACCACCTGTGAACGCACCACATAGCATACCAGGTTAACCCTAGCTGTATCCCTCACACGCAGGAGATTTGTAATGCATGATGATCATTATTAACTCCGCTATTAGCCATTAGTTTCGACATTTTTCGAACAGTCACCGAATCCCTTTAGAGGAGCGCTTTTATCTTTACATTATAAGAAATATAAAAGAAAACAAGAAACAAAAGAAAAAACAAGAAGGCGAGAAGTAAGGACAATGGAAACGCGAAAAGAGAGTTTGTTATAATTGTTATTGTCTTTCGACTTCCCATTAAAGTTCAAATCTCTTCACAGAATTTCTTCGATTCTGTACAATTTCAATGTGAGATCTTTTGGTAACAAGAAAAATCTCGGAGGAGACAAACTTCAGTCTTTTGCGAAAATGTTTGCACTCTATAAAATCAACTGTTCCAATTCTGCCAAAGCCGTTCACACGAACTTTTTGGGTGGACGATCGATTCTTATATAATTTGTTGTTTCAAAGGTAATGGAAAGATAAATCGCTTGGCGAACATTGGGAAAAGCTTACGATTCGCCTTGTATTTACCTTACTTTCTCTTGAAATAGAGCCGCCTGCGATTAGTGCTGAAATCTGTTAGGCTCAAAGCTGTCGAGTTTAGTATGAGAGTTTTAAGATCATGTAGAGGGTCGGAAATGATTGGGTACCATCGACGATGATCAACTGGAGACGTCATCTGGAGCAAATCGAAGGAAAGCAGCTAAGAAAGTTCGTGGTAAAGTGAGATATGTCGCATTAATTGAACCGAAAGGAAGGGGAACGACATCGCATAGTTTAGCTGGTGTCTATTTTGCGCAACTATAACAATCCATTTCACGACTACACTAGCACAGTGGTCACCAATGAACATGGCCTTTGGTTCAATACCACCATCCGTGTTAACCTATCCCTCTAGCGCTTCGGCTTTCTGATTTGGTACCAGTCTACATTGGAAGATTAGTAAAAAAAAAAACTGATCTAACACATTGGCAGTTTCCAGCAGTCTTTGAGTTAAATATCTTTTCAGCCACAACTTAACACTTAGATCACGGTGTTTCTTGAAAAAAGCGGAAAATATTGAGCTTCGAGAGAGAGTTGAAAACATGGTCGGTTTGCTTCATCTGTAAGAGCTATTTTAAAACCATCATAAGCTGTTTAAAGTTATTGAGAGTCAAAATTTTCTTAAGGATCAAGGGTTAAATGTTAAATAGTTTAAAAAAATGCAAATAAAGTGTAAATTAATAACAGCACATGTGGAGGTATTATAGCACTCTAAAAAGGACAAAGTATGAAGTTCTTGGCATTGATGAATCCCTGCGGGATGCGCCATGCATTCGACTTCAGTCAGTATCGTCAGAGGTGACTGAATGCATATCTGACCTTTACAGCAACGTGCTGGGCTAACGATGTATTGAGCCAGTGCTGCTATCTTTCCAGACAAGTATGGTACCAATTTATCGACTCCAGAGGGATGAAGACCTTGGTAAGCCTGTGACGCGAAGATCGATCCCATGTGTATTGCAGAGCGCCTTCAACCACTGCGCCACGCGCGCCCTATAACAAAGCACTCTAATCGACGAAAAACCGTTTGTTCACTTGTTCTCATTTTCAAAATACGTGCTTCAGCAGAAACAGAAAGTAGGAAAAGTACGCCTTCTGAACTACAGTTTTTTGCTGCTGGTTTTAATGAATTTTATTTCAATTTATACAATTTAACGCATTATTTACTGCCTATTCTTTTTAACGGCAGGGTAT